ATTTAATAAAAAACGGAACGCTTTTGTGTAATGTAAAACCAGATGATTTATTTAAATCTAACACTATGATTAGGACACTCTCATAGAGGATTTATGTGTAATTTTATCTCGACCTCAAGTGTTCCCGTTCTATAGGCAGTGAATTGTGTCAATGATGTCAAATTTTCAAAGCGGCGTCCACATGTTCGAAGGCGAGGGAAAATTAAATATGTAGATGGGGGCTTATGATGTAACATGACAACAAAGCCGAACACCGAAGAGAATTTCCAATTGATGGTTTATATTATGTCACAGTTAGGATCGAAGAGTTTATTTTTGCTTTTCTTTTAGCAGGGGATGGAATGTCCCTCGGGCAATACCAACACCACCCGTTCGTATTGCCAGCCACCTTGTAATGTGCAAATGGACAGGAAGCTGGTAGGTGGCAAGACATATATTGCAGATGTTGTCACAGGTGTCACGTATATACTTACTCAGTCCAGGGAAGCGAAGCCCTGCATAAACACCCTTTTTTTTATATAATATTGGAAACACAACAGAATACGCTTCTCATTTCCCGTCGTTACGTTTATTTTCACCTGAACATGAAGCAGGTATTTAATAGTTTTCGCTACTCACTGACATAAACGAAAATAGAAATATATTTCATAGTCATTGGTTGGTCGATGGAAAGCTAAGTGAAAATCCAGCTGTATGCATAAATGGCTATCACTACTGAGTAGTTACGAATAATTAAGAGTGGTCTCCCTTTGTTTTGTTACGCTCCTCTTTGAGAGAGCAATTTCTGTTTACTGGGACTATAAAAGGACACTATACGCGAACCTTGTATTCTCAATATAATAAAGCTTTCTTAAAGCCTACACCTGCGTAGGTTTGTCATTACAGTGAGTTTACTCTCCATTTGGAGCCCAATAATTGTGGACTTGTACAGAAAGATATATTTAGGAAATAAGAACAAAATCCGAATAAATGTAAATTTGGCCATGTTTAAGTCGATAATTTATCGCCATGTCAGAAATTCCAGAAGTAATCAAGTGTTGTCGAGAAGAACGAAAATTATATACGACGAAAAGAAATTAAAAAGGATGAAAATAGAAGACGATTTTTAATCACCATGTTTGAATGGCTTATTAAGAAAAAATCCGAATAACTCTAACCACTTATCTTGTCTTACTCCTTCTTCTGTTCGGTATGTTTATATTTTAATTTTAATGACGCCTCAGTGCAACTGTAATTTTTTCCGAAATCAAGCGAAGAAAATCAGCGACGCCAGATTGGCTGCTTTTCCGACCAATCACGCAGTAAAGCCAACCTGCGGCGAATACCAACCGTGGAACGCGACGGAGATTAGTAAAGAGGGGAAGACTTGGTTTGATTTTGTAGCAATTCAGCTGGAAAAAGAGATGCGAATTGGCTGATTTGATTGCAGAAGCCTGAACTGTGCTAAAATGGCGAATAAGAAAGAAATAGAGAGGCAGGCAGGCAGACAGGCAGGCAGGCATGTTGGAAGGAAGGCAGGAAGGAAGGAAGGAAGGAAGACATAAAGGCATAAAAAGAAAAAGAGAGAACAAAAGAAAGAAAGAAAGAAAGAGAGAGAGAACAAAAGAAAGAAAGAAAGAAAGAGAGAACAAAAGAAAGAAAGAAAGAAAGAAAGAAAGGAATGTAAAATGAAAGAATTGAAGACAGTCGGAAATAAATAAAAATAGAGAAAAAAGAAAGAAAGAAATGAAGAAAAAAGACAAAAAGGCATGAAGGGAAAAAGAACGAAAAAAAGAAAGATTTGAAGAAGCAAATAAATAAATAAAGAAAAACATAGATGCATAAAGCAATAAACAACAAAATAAATAATGTAATAAGTAAAGAAAGAAAGACAAATAAACAAAGAAAGGCTTAAAAACGAAAAAAACAAAGACGGTAAGAAATAAATAAATACCTAAAGAGAGAAAGTAATGATGTAAGAAAGAAAGAAATATCGAAAGTAAGAAGTAAAGAATGAGAGACAAAATGAAAGAAAGGAAGACATTGTTAAAAAAAATAAAAAAGAAGTCAACGAAAGCAAAGTTTTGGAAATTTGTTGAGACTCGAAACAAAAATAGCAAACAAACAAAAAAAAAAAATTAAACCCCAAAATACCTACAAAACTTGTACGATGAAAAAAAAAATTAAAAATAATAAGATAACTGGTTGAAGTAAAAGATAAATCTATAGATAAACAATCACTAATTTGAGTTAAATAAGAAAAGACATTTTATAGCCAGCCTCGTGGCCATGGTACATTTCAGTTGTCGGTCTCTGTATCCTGGCAACAAAAACAAATAACAAAAAAAAAAACAATACATCTAAATACAATAATTCCTCGTATTTAGATGAGTTTTCTTTTTTAGAATAATGTTCACCCTTTATCAAGCCCAGGAGCCACTCAATGTAGAGAATTACAAGAATTGTAAGATATATTAGTAGTATTAAAAGTGTTGAGTAATGTAACTTATTGAATGTCAAATTCTGCATGAAAATGTTATTCTTCTTCTATGTGCATTTAGCGATCATGACTCTCCACAATTTCCTCTCCTCTGTAGCCCTTAATAAATTTTGTCTTTTTTGCTATTTCCCCTAAATCCTGCCCCGTCATCCATTAGTTAGCTTAAACGTTATTTTCCGCTGAGCATCTTGCCTTCAATTTTCCTGTGAGTATCAAATTTTCCAAACCTACTTTCCTCATTATGTACCCTAGACATTTCAACTATCTTTTCCTTAGATTAGGTAACGCTTTCAATACATTTCTTTCCCTCAACCGCGTTCTGCCATTCAACTTCTCAAACTCGCAACTTAGGTAATGTGTTATTTTCCTCAATCCCTGTCGACTTCAATACATCCTATGTGTGTCAGTTTTTTCAAGCCCTCATTATTTGCCCTGGAAATTTCAACTGTCTCTTTCTAATGCTATATAAAAGTGTCTTTTTGTTTCCATTTTCTCTAAAACGTCGTCGTTGCTCACATATTCGGTCTATGGTATCCTAATCCGCCCCCCCTCGTAGAACCACAATTTATTCTGCTTCAAGTCTATTCTTCGTCTGTGAGAGGATTCTCCAGCTTTTGCTGCTACATAGGAGGACTAATGTGTTTGCTAAAGGAGAGCATCTATTTTTACTCCTGCGTCGTCTAACATTTTTAACGACATTTTTGACTAACAGAAAGGAAAGACTTAGTATCGTCTCTCTAGAATATATTTCTTATGGAATATAAGAATATATTTCTTATGGAATATAAGAATATATTTAAGAATATAAAAATAGTTAAGAACATGAGAATATATTTCTTATGGAATATAAAAATATATTTAAGAAGATAAAAATAGTCAAGAATATAATATATTTCTTATGGAATATAAGAATATATTTAGGAATATAAGGATATTTAAGAATATAAGAATATATAAGAAAATATTTCTTATGGAATTGCTCACATACCAATTGTCAACCTTGACGTACAGACGCCAGTGAAATAAAAATGTAAAGGAAGTGTGCTTATGTTGTGGAAGTGGTATTTATGATGCTGGCGGTGTTTTTGTATCAGGAATCGTTAAAGAATATTTATACGCGGATGCCGTGGTAGTAGATGTAGTGGAAACTGATTTTGAAATAGCAGTGGTGGTAGGGGAGATAACCGCATTCAACATTTACAAAAGCGAATGATGTCTGACACAATATTACGAGAGTTAATTGCACTAAGGGAAAATGTCATAACCGAACAGTACCAAATGTGAAATGAAGCAGATGTCTCTTGGCATGGTAAGCGGAACGAGAATAATCTACGCATTTAATTAATCTTCAGTTTGGGTGTCTACATGTCCTACTAACATCATTACTTTTTTTCGGGGTCATCATCCATTGATAACATCATTTATTATATATTATAAATATATATATATATATATATATATATATATATATATATATATATATATATATATATATGTGTGTGTGTGTGTGTGTAAAGAGAAAGTCATCTACAGACAGCTCATCAGTATGGCTAGACATCCAAGTACCTCAAGCCGGGATCGAAACGGGGTTGATTTGGCATCAATCGGAGATTTTACACCTGAGCTATCAGCGCCCGGTTGAGAGGAAGAGATTTGCTGTATTAGCAATAGTAGTCATTGTTCACAAATTCTCGCTTTCTCTCAAGAGTGATCGACCGGGATTAAATTTTCCGGGGGTGTATATATTGTCATCTACAGACAGACTGTTTCGCTATATATATATTATACACAGTTGTAGTTATTGAGATTTTTAACTCATAGGCTTTTTTTTTTCCTAGAAGGTGCCCAGTGTGTGTGAGGTATATTGGTGTATGAAGGAGCAAATGGTGACGGATAAATTCTTATGGTGAACGAGTACATAGTAACGAATGAATGGGTCATGAATCCGATTAGCTAGGTATATGATAGCTAGTGATGACTAACCTTGACTAGTCCCCTCAATTTTTAGGCCTTGTGCCACAACTACTCTATCAGTAATAAATCTTTGGCTACAAATTTCGCTTTCTTTGGTTGGATAAAGTCAGAAGACGAAACATGTCGTAAGAACTAAAAATTTATTTTCGACTATCATTCTTAAACTACATATTGAAGGGTTCAATTTAGAAATCCGTGATGTGTACTCGGATCGATAAACACTTGAGAAAATTCGAGGAGCACAACGGCCAAAGCATTGAGATAATAGCAATTGACTGATTGACTGATCTGTTTTTTTACGGTTTATCATCTTTTTGCAGGTTATTTAAAACCAGAAAATATTTTTATATTGTAACATTTTTTTTCAGATAGTAATCTTTTTTCCGATGCAAGTCCTACTAATTAACCCATAGCTGGGGAGAGAAGAGGTGGATTCACCCTTTTCCTAACGGTATTTGAACGTAAGTGAATATGACGAACCAGACTGGTACTGGAACTCTGCTTTTCAATTTCAAGCCGTTATCCATTACACCACTCGCACATCCAGGCTTACAGCCTCAGGATTTCTCAAACGGTTACCCATCTCAGTACTAACTAGGCTTAATGTTGCTTAACTACACTGATCGTACGTGAACTGGTGTTTTAACGTGAAATGGCCGTAAAAAAATGAGAACACGAGTTTGCATGGAAATGATATAAATAATTATAATTCTTCATCCCATAAATTCAATCAGAAAAGTTCGAAGTAGCAGTTGTCATGTGAATATTAAAAGTAATTTTGTTTATTATTGGTTTTATCAGCTTGAAATATACAGGACTCACTTTTATAGATTCCTGTATGTATTCATATTACTTTTATCACCTATAAATATATACAACAATCTTAAGACCTCCAAAAATCCTACGAAACACGCATGTTGAAAATGTTTAGAATAAAATGTGTTATTTAACACAAATAAGATGCTAAAGGTATACAATATCACAGTAATAGAAAATAATAAAAATTCACCGTTTATATACAGGAAACATCTGGTATTTGTTCATATACAGGAAACATCGGGTATTTGTTTATATACAGGAAACATCGTGTATTTGTTTATATACAGGAAACATCGTACATTTGTTTATATGCTGAAAACATCGGGTATTTGTTCATATACAGGAAACATCGGGTATTTTTTATATAAAGGAAACATCGGGTATTTGTTCATATACAGGAAACATCGGGTATTTGTTCATATAGAGGAAAAAATCGGGTATTTTTTCATATACAGGAAAAATCGGGTATTTTTTATATACAGGAAACATTGGGTATAAAATGGCCGAATAGTTTATATGACTGTCGATTCAATTTTATAAAAAAAAATTTAATTAAAATAATATTTATGAGATGAGGTATTACGTACACTATTTACATTATTAGGACTATTGTCCCCATGTTTGTCGCCACATTTATTCCAACATTTCGGCCGTTGTACGCTCCGTCCTTCTTCAGATGGTTGAAATGTCGAACTGAACCCTTTATTTCACTCGCTGGTGCAGACTGTTCTCAGTTTCACATGCCATATCTAATGGATGTCAGTTATCAGTTATCTCCTGTTAATTCCCCTCTCCAAGTTCTTCATCGCCTTAACCAGGTATTGAACTCACACTCTTTATACTGAAACTCTTCAAGTTCACTAATTGTTTTACATCTTTCTAATACTGATGGTCTTTCTTTAAAAAAAACTTTTGAATTTGCTAGAGTGAAATATTACAATCATTATTTTCTCTTTTAGTTGTTTCATTTTGTTATTGCTTCTGTTGCAAGTATTCACGTGATGTGGTTTTTGTTATTTGGTAAACGTCTTTGTGATTCTGTAGAGTCCGTCTATAGGATCTGATGAAGTGTTGCTTTATTCAAAATTTATTTATTTACACAGGATAAAAAAAAATATAAATGTTCTTTGCGAAAGGGAATTGGAAGAAAGCGTTTTTCTTCTCCTAGGCTGGTTGCCAATCAATGTTTGAATTGTTCAGTCTAACTTGCTATTTAATCCATTTTATACAGTAAACTGATTGAGGCTTTACAGATTAAACTCTCATTACTGAATAGTGAAGGATTTGAGAAAATGTATCTTACATGCATTTCTCATGATACATCAACGATAATGACGTCAGCATAGATTTTCTGCATACTGTTAACACTTTATAAGTACATTTTTACGTATATACAGTTTTTGGTAGATTTATCATTAATATAGTTTTTTTTCTGTTTCCAAGTGGGTGATAAAGAATTTATAGAGATTTTTTTTTACCGATTTAATGGAATCCGTATGAAGACGAATACACTTTGCTTGGTTTTCTTCTGTCTAATAAGAAAAATATGTAGTCATATATATTTAAAAAGTACATTGTAAAAAAAGCTTCTTAGAAAAGGATGAGGCAGTTGATTGTGGATCAGGTGAGTGATAGAACCATCAGGGGTGGAAAGCAACATTTCGGTGAAATGTTATTCATCAGTGATCAAATCGATAATGGAACAATTCTAAATCTATCACAATCAGTTCGGGGTAATCTCATTCGCAGTATATCGAACTTATTCTGTTAATTTCTGTCGAGTTATCAACGGATCATTATAATTCTTTGCTTTCTGTCTGTCGATCAGTCGGTATCTATCTCTCAATCTATCTAACTGTCTATCTATCTATCTATCTATTACGTTCTTTTCATATCTATCTATTACATTCTTTTCAGTTCTATCACGTGCTTTTCATATCTATCTATCTAGCTAGCTTAGCTAGCTGTCTGTCCGTCTGTCTATAGTATTTTATTCAAATCTATCCATTTATCTATGTATCTAGATAGCTATATGTTTAAAGCATTGTATTCAAATCTATCTATCTATTACACCATATTAACATCTATCTATCTATCTATCTATCTATTACAGCATGTTAACATCTATCTATCTATCTATCTATCTATCTATCTATCTATCTATCTATCTATCTATCTATCTATGTAGCTAGCTATTTCATGCTAACATCTATCTATCTATATCTATCTATCTATCTATCTATCTATCTATATATATATATATATATATATATATATATATATATATTACAGCATGTTAACATCTATTCATCTATCTATCTATCTATCTATCTATCTATCTATCTATCTATCTATCTATCAAATAACTCCTCCTGACTTCCTATTCTATTTATCACCTCACACACCGCAACAACAAGAACAAAAAATAATATTTGTTACCTGCTAGACGAATGCATATTTTTAAACATTTATTTTTCCGTATCTTTTTCTGCTAAGAATTCTCTGTGTGTATGTTGGTGGAGAGGGGGGATTGCCACTTCAACTATATTACTTTTAGACTGAGTGAAAAGAAACACCTTACTACGAGCCTACCACGAAAGGATTTTAACCTAGACTAGAAATGAGATTATATTCTCCATTTTATATTTTGTAATATATTCTACAAGTTTCTTTTTCTCAATTTCTACTCTTGCTTTTCCTTTTCATAAGAATGTCATATTCTTTTTCGCTTGCCTATCTCGATGACATCCAGGCATCGAAAATTGTTTCCCATTTGTAGCATGACTGACAAGTAGAGTATCAAAATGTATCGAGCATTTGCGACTGTCACTCAAAATGAGAGTACGTCATTTCTTCGTGAATGAATATTTTTTAAGCCTGAAGAAAGGTTCATGTTTTTGATATTTTTTTATTCAAGTGGCGAATTTCATTTCTTGATATCCGACGCTCGATGACTAGACCTTTTTAACCATCACATTTGCGGATTTCTTCTACTTTTTGCCGAATATTTCCTCATACATTTTATTTTTATTCATATATATATATATATATATATATATATATATATATATATATATATACATATAAATATATATATATATATATATATATATATATATATATATATATATATAAGAATACTTTATAGAAATATAGACGTGACCATTGCTTTTAGCATGGATCAAACTGTCGCCCACACACACACATATGTATATATGAATACAGATATATATATATTTATATATATATATATATATATATATATATATATATATATATATATATATATATATATATATATATATAATTTATCTGTTTAAACGTTATATGGCACCTTGCATTTATTGGAAATATTCATAGAAATATGAGTTAATTTTTCTTATTCAGTTTATTAAACAGGTTGTTAATTTTTTTTAAAACGGAAAATAACTGAGTTGAAAATAATTCACTAAGAATGTACTAGACGATCCTAAGGAAAGAAGAAGGAAAGAAAAAAAAAAGAAAGAAGGGAAGAAAAGAAAGAAAGAGAAATGTATGACGCATGACCCAGTTGATGGTAGAGATAGGTCTGCGTGTGGTCGACTTTTTTTTTTTTTTAAAACAAAGGGAAGAATAGAATTGGAAATAATAAAAGAGAAAGAAAGGGAAACAGACATGATATCGACCAGATGTCGGTCAGAGGCCTCTGACCGACTCTTGCATGGAAAACCCTTATCAATTTGGAGGAAGAGAAATTTTATTTTTTTTTTGAACAATAGAAATGAATTTTACTTTAGTCAGAGAGAAAGTGTCTTTGGGTTGGGGAAGTGACTGGTGAAAACGATATACGGAATTGACCTGTTAAGAATTGGACACCCACGTTAAGAAAGTAGAGATATTTCTGACCTAGATAATTAAGATTTTCGACTATCAGGAAAAACAAAGAGTAAAAAAAAGAAGAGCAATTGTTTTGGACCACAGAGGGCGCCAAGAAGGCGGAAAAGAACCTTTTCTAAAGTCAAGACTAATTAGCAGCGGGCTGTTTTGACAAAGTCCAGGTGAAAGAAAGCTAAAGATTGTCATTTTGCGTACGTGCAAAAAGGTGCGAAATCGGATTTTTTTTTTTTTTTAAAACCAGCACGAGGTAACCACACCCGCCAACAAAAGGGAGAGGGTGTTCGGTCAATAACAATTGGTCGAATACAATCACGTGACCGCGGAAGAAGAAGGAAAGAAAACCTCGATCAATAACTGTTGGACGAGGCGGTCACGTGGGCTGCGGAAAAGAAGAGAAAAGAAAGGTTCGATCGGGAACGATTGGTTGAGAGCGATCACCTGACATGAGAGAGAGACTAAGAGAAATAGATATGCGCCGCCCCACCAAGAGCTCTGTGAGAAAGTGGGGGTGAAAACAATAACGATAATGGAAAGTCAAAATTAATACGACTTTTGAAATTATCGAGAAACCCCTGACGCCGACCGACCCACCCCGGTTTGTTGCGGCGTCAATATAAGCAGGACCCCAGTCGGCAGAAATCAGTTGAGCTGCGCCTCGATGAAGAAGGAGTTTGAGCGGGCTGCGGGCCCGGCTCATCTGCCCCCTTACGGGCAAGAAAGGCCGGTCCGTTTGGCCTAAGTGGAGAAGTTGCAGTCGCGCACTGACAGCGGAGATGAGTGAACAATAATTCAGAAGCCGAAGAGAAGAAGTTTGAGTTGGAGATGCAGCCGGAGTTGGGCTGAGTTGCAGCAGGACCGCGGGCAGGGGAAGATCCTGAACGCGGACATAAGACCTGATTCACTCGCCCCTTTGCGGGCAAAAGAACCCTCAGACAGAAGGACTTCCAGCCCAAGTCGAAGACAGAAGAACTTCCAGCCCAAGTAGATGAAGAAGAAGATTGCCTGAAAACCTGAGAAAAGTTGGAGCTGAAGTTGAGTTGAAGTTGGAGTTAGGTTGGGCGTGAGTTGCAGTTCGCCCTCGGGCGACAGAGGAATCCTCGAAACAAGAAATCCTTCCAGCCCAAGTTGAAGACAAGAAATCTTCCACCGAATTGAAGCAAGAAATCTTCCACCGAATTGAAGCAAGAAATCTTCCACTGAATCGAAGCAAGAAATCTTCCACTGAATCGAAGCAAGAAATCTTCCACTGGGTTGAAACAAGAAATCTACCAGTCTAAACAGAAGAAGAAGAAGAAATACAACTCAAGTCGGAGAGAAGAATCAACTGCGAATGATCGATAGAAATTAGCCCCAGTGTCGAACTGAACCACACTCCGACATACATACATGATTCTAGAAAGTAGGTAATTCGACATTTTCCTATTGTGTGATAGAAGCTTGGTGCCATAGTCCACAGAGCGGGTCGGGAATTGAGAACAATTTTGTTTTTATGTAACGGACTTTAAGATATAAAAGGTTGTTACCTTTTTTATCAGCAATTTTGTTTGGTGTCGTGAGTTTTTATTTTATTTGTGTTTTGCCACCCCCGTCGGACTCAACTTGTATCGGCCCCTGATCCCGCTGGTCCCGTCTGTCTAAGATCTAAACACAGCGTGGGTAGACAGACCGGAGATCGGTATAGTTGCTTTAGTGACCAGGTATTGGAAGCGAGTCGGGAAAGGCGAGGCTGGTGATCATCTGACCAAAGGGTTGGAGCGGCACGCTTGGACCCAGGAGGAACGACCAGGAGGAGCGACGTCACCGTTGGCGCCGTAACCAAAGGATCCGACACTGGGCCAGGTGTGTAACCGTCACCAAGTGGTGCCGTGACCAGGATCAACCCTGAGACAGCCACGTCACAAGTGGTGCCGTGACCAACGGATCAACCCTGAGACAACCACGTCACAAGTGGTGCCGTGACCAACGGATCAACCCTGAGACAGCCACGTCACAAGTGGTGCCGCGACCAAGGATCAACCCTGAGACAACCACGTCACATATGGTGCCGTGGTGACCGAGGGATTTCAACCCTGAGAAGACCACGATCGACCGCCGTTGCTGAAGGTTCAAGCAGAAATCAGAACGACCCGGGACCAAAGGAAAAGAAGGAACAGAATCGTCTGTAGGGTAGGACACCTTATTTTGTTTCCCAACCTCGATTGTTGCTATATAGACTGTCTTTCTCTGTAGACATGTCAGATTATGAGTCGGATAGAGCAGTGGGGGGTGAAGAAGAAGTAGGGCGGGGGTTGTCAGTAGATTTAAGGGGCTGTTGGGTGGACCGAGGGTCCCAGTGTTTGATGGTAGTGGGAAGGAGTTCAGGAACTGGCTGACAATCCTCGAAAAGAGCCGAACCATCTACGAGCTCGGACCAGGAAACCCTGTACCTGACATACGATGCCACAAAGGAAAAGCGTCGGAGTTCGTGGGGGGCTCGTGGAGAACCAACCCCGCTTGGCTTGGGAAGAAATAAAAAACTGCTGACCAAAGAATTCGCCGACGAAGGTACGGGCCATAGAGGCCATGAGGGCCTTTTAAAACTGACACAGCTTCGGGATGAAACCCCGGGAGAATTGGGGCCTGAGCGGGGAAGGCTATCGTCATTAGCATTCCCTGAGGTGGTCAGGGATAATGTGGGTTATGCAGGCCCAACTGGCGGACCTGTATGTAGAGGCGCTGAGTGACGAGCGTGTTCGTCACGACGTATTGAAAGATGGACCGCTCAGACTGTCGGCAGCGATAGAGCTGGCCAGGGAGAGCCAGGGGTATGGGATAAGGTGAAGAGGTGTGGGAAGAAGCAGACACCAAGTCAGGAGGCTGGAAGAAGGGGGGTAGGCGGAAGAACCCCCATGGAATAAGAGGGTTAAGGAAGAGGTGGATCGGGCAGAAATATGGGAGGAGGACCCCAATAGAAGGGCATGGTCGACCAGGCATGGCTTTTTATAAGCCCACGCCGGGTCGATATGGGCTGGTCTGCTGGACCTGTGGGTACGAGGACCACAGGGCGGCGGAATGTCCGACGAAGTGGGGATTGCCCCCAGACTTCAATCAGGACAGATGCACCAGGTGTGGTAAGAAAGGACACCTGGCCAAGTGGTGCGGGGCTGAAGAAGGTGCCCCACCGGTGTTGACAAGGAAGGCTGAGCCCAAGAGACCGGACCAGGGAAGCCAGCGGGCCACCCCAGAATTAAGAGGGAGGGTGGCCCCGTTAAAAAAAGGAGAGAAATAAAGGCTTGGACCAGTGGGTGGGCGAACTGCTTGATAGGGGACGGGTTCCCTGAGGATAGACACAAGGCCAACCCAGTTAAAAAGAGAAAGAGCAAGATGTTGGACATGTGGTCGGATGGGCCACTTTGCGGCAAGCTGTCCGACAAGAAGGTGCTGGTTTTGCAGGAGGCCAGGACACCTGAGAAGAAACTGTATTCTTAGAAACGGCCACGAGAGACCGAGAGAGGTCCGGCTGGGGTCACCCAGGGCAGGGGGCGCAGAACTCCACCTCATAAAAGAAATGAAGATGAATTATTATTACTG